CCTTCAAAACCAGAATTGAGAAAAAGGCATTGGACAGATCCATCACTGCATATCAAGTAGTAGGAGTTCTCAAACAATGAGATCACAACTGGAACAGCAGCTGCAATAGTAATCTATTGTCCTTCTCGAAGATCCACCGGTTTCTTGCACAGGTTAAATAGGCTAATTGAAGGGGGAGGTGGTGGGAATCATGACCTCTTCATCTTTCAAATGCTAGATGGTGACATTAACCTCTTCAATACATCTAGTATACCAATTTCTTTGATTTTACTATTTTCCTAGGTATAGACATTTCTAATGCTCTCCACTTGACTTTTTCTACCATAATAGTCTTTATTGTAGACTTGCTTGGGATCCACTGTGGGAGCTCTGCCAGTTGCTGGAGTATCTATTCCAATTATGCATTTTGGGGAACTGGGAATATCACTACAGGATGATTCACGGGCCCACTGGACCCCCCGTGAGACAGAGCTGAATTAACAGGCTATTGGGCTACAGTGCCATTTGGGATCTCCTGGAATTTGTTTCCATTCAGAGCTAGTATCCACTAATCCAGAAAGGTTGTTTCCTTTTCCTCAATGAAATAGTCACTTGTAAAAGGCTGTAGATTATCTTGGGGAGGCTGGGAGAAAGAGGAACAGATTAAATTTTGGACAATGTAGGGGGATCCATCTTCAAAAGGACTGTACCTTGTCCCCTTCATATAAGAGATGGTAGCTCTGGAATATGGTTCAGTTCTGGAGTTGACGGAGGGACCATGACTCTTCTAGCAATTTAAGTTCAACTGCCACTTACTTGCCCTGGAATTCTTCTGCTTCTTCATACCAAGTAAATATTTAATGCCATCTATTTCACTCCTCGGGATACCATGATGAGTAATTAACATAGGGGTTAAACTCTTCTGATTACTGCTTTGACTCCTCTATCCATTAGAATAGCGACCCTCAACTTGTCTTTGTTGATTAAGTGCTGCCCCCTGGTCCTTACCAAGACAGGGCCCAATCAACACCATTGAAGTTAAGTATCATAATTCAGTTAGGTAAGTTCCTACTGTCAAAGTGGACTGACATAATGCAGTAATCACAGTAGTCTTTAGGGATGCTGGGAGTTCCTTCACAAATGTATTCCTCACTACTGTGGTAAAAGGTGTGCCCTCTTAGACCTCCATGTGTGGTTCTGTTTAGAATGTTATAAAAGGCTGTGAGTTAGTCTTAAGCATTGTGTTGTAGACCACGTGCCCTAGACTTGGCTTTCTCATTCTCCATCTGTACCACCAGCATTCTCTTGGTGCTTCTGTTCCCATAACTGCAAAAAGGAAAAGGAAAAAAAAGTATTTGGAACAAACAATACCTTAAGATTCCTAGCTTTCCATGATTTTTGTTATAAGAGCTGTAAGAGCCCCCAATAAAATAATCTTTTAATAAAATAAATATATACATGATTTTATATATAGAAAACCCCAAAGACTGCACAATAGAATTGCTGGAAATGATAGAGGAATATGGTTGAGTGGCAGGATATAAGATAAACAAGCAGAAGTCAATTGGATTGCTATACACCACTGAGGGGATTACAGAAAAAGAGATCAAGAAGGTAGTACCCTTCACAATAGCCAAGCACAAACTGAAATATCTAGGGATATACCTAATGAAAAAAACAAAAGATCTGTACAAGGAAAACTACAGTACATTATTACAAGAAACCAAAAGGGACCGTCACAAATTGGAGAATATCTCGTGCTTGTGGATTGGAAGACTCAATATTGTAAAGATGTCAATCCTGCCTAAGGCACTGTGTATGTTCAATGCAATTCCGATACAAATCCCAGCGTTATTTTTTTAAGAAATGGAAAATCTGACTACCAACTTCATATGGGAAGGGAAGAAGCCCCAAATTGGCAAGGAACTGCTCAAAAAGAAGAAAAAAGTGGGCGGGTTTGCATGACCTGACTTTCAAACTTATTGTATAGCCACAGTTGTCAACACAGCATGGTACTGGTATAATGATAGATACTCAGACCAATGGATTAGAACAGAAAATCCAGAAATAAAAACAGCAGCAGATAGACAAATGCTCTTTGACAAAGACCCCAAAAATATTAAATGGGAAGCAGATGCCCCTTTCAACAAATGGTGCTGGAAAAAAATAGAATTAGCCTGCAGAAGAATGAAACAAGACCCTTACCTCATTCCATACACAAGAACAAATTCAAGGTGGATCACAGACCTCGAGGTAAAATCCAAAACTCTGAGAATCATCAATGAGAAAATTGAGACAAAGCTAAAAAATAAGGAAAGATACATACCCAGAGGATGATAAAATAGACAAATGGGACCTACTAAAGATTAAAACACTTGTGTACATCGAAAGATTTCATTGTAAATGGAGAGAAAATGTTTTGAGAAACGATGTACAAATGCGCGTTACACAATTGATGTGTGTATGGATTGGGATAACAGTTGTATGAGCCCCTAGTAAAATGTTAAAAAAGAAAAAGAAAAAAAAGAAAGATTTCATTGAGAGAGTAATAAGATAGCCCACAGCCTGGAAAAGAGATTTAATAATGACATAACAGCTTAAGGGCTTATTACTAAAAATCTCAAGGATCCTGCAAGCTTACAACAAGAAAAACACGAATAGCCCACTGAGGAGGTGGGCAAAAGACTTGACTTACAAAACAGATGCAGATAGCACCTGTGCTGAAAGGCATCCCGCCCCCAACCCCCTGTTATAAGCCTTTAAGGCCCACAGAGGGGTGGGGGAAGAAAAACAACTGCAATGGGGGGTCAGGGCACTAACCAAACCAAGGGGAGTGTATTGTTTATATTCCCACAAAAAGGGGAGAGCAAAACTATCCCTCATTCTGGGGTGCCAATCGGGGGCTCAGCTCAAGACATGAAGCCCTCTCCCTAAATGACAGTGCTGCAGAGGACAGCCCTGAAGATACAACTCAGGGAGAGCGGCAGGTCTGACCTGCACATATGGGGCAGATCAAGAGCGCAACCGACCGGTGATGGGAGAGAAACCATGAGGTCCCTGAAGAATCCCAGTCGTAGAATTCTGACTTGGGGGAAGCACTTGGCACCCCATATATGAACTAGTTAGGAATTACTCATAAGGGGCCATACTGAAAATTAAAGGCACAACTCAGGATGGTGGGCAGTAGACTGCTCCATCCCTGACTGCAGGAATAGCAATGGGGATTTTTAAGATGCTCACCTTTTGGACACGAATGCTGAAGACTAAAAGAGTGTATGTGGTGTTAGGTAAGCAGACCAGGACATGAAACACTGAAAGAAATGGGGACTGACTGATGCTTTATAACCTGTCCTTCTCTCTAACAGAGAGCTATCTATCTGCTCTATGGCAGGATCCCTGTTAGACTTGTGACTATATGGGTGTGTGTTTGTGTGTGTGTGTGTGTTTATCTATACAAGATATGCAGGATAGGTAATTTTACAGCGGTTCCTGGGGAGCATGGGGGTGGTGGGGGGCGTGAGCAGGGAGCCAACAATGACGGGTACAGGGGAATATTGAGTGTTCTAAAATTGATGGTAAGGAGAATGTAGCTTTTCCTGGTCATGTTTGATTAATCAAAGTGCATCTGAGAGGAATTACTGAGATGTGAATAATGGGTAAACATAATAGCGTGGTAGGAGGGGGGAGGAAAGAAGAAAAAATATATATATGTGTGTGTGCATATATATATATATATATGCAAATGCAACAAGGAAGCAGATGGACTTTGGTCCTGTACTTAAATCTTACCTCAGTACAAGAACAAGTATGACAGTCCTAATAATGTAGCATTATGTGATACCTTCCTGACACGATTGCTGAAGACTAAATGAGTGCATAAACAAATGTGAAGAAAGCTGATGGTGCCCAGATATTAAAAGATATAGTGTCTGAAGGCCTTAAAGAGCAACCATCTAGCAGGAAGCAACAAATCCCACATGGAAGAAGAATACCAGTCTGTGTGATTTTGAGGTTTCGATGAGAAGAGGTATCAGAAGTTCAAAAACAAACAACCAAACAATGTAAAAGGCCATGGCTGTAGACTCAAAACCCACCTGTAAGATAATTGGACAGTCCCCCTCAGAAGGACCACAGAGAAGGGATGAGCCACTTAACTATCCTCAACTTCTTTAATATTCCTACTCTTACTATTATGGTTTTTATTTGTTTTGCTTCACTAATCATGTTAGATTTCATTTGGATATTTAAGAGTGTTCAGTACATGAAAGCCAAGATAGATAACCCTTCAGAAACAGTAACAGGAGTAATGAGTCCATGAGGAAATGCAAAGGGGGGCAGGTGGGAGGGGGAGAGGGGGGAATTGGGAGCTGTTAGCTTTGATGACTATATAATTCCACTCAGTGGGATTGAACAACAGAATTACATGTGAATGGAGTTATTGGATTATGTAAGATATGGGGGTAGAGGGAACAATTATAGAAAACAAAAAAAGAATAAGGGTTCCTGGGGACTATGGTGGGGGAGAGAGGGGATAAAGTGGAGCTGATATCAAGGAATTTAAGAAGAAAAATGTTTTGAAACTGATTGTGGTAGCAGTTGTACAACATAGCTTGATGTGATTGAACTATGCAATGTTATATCTGTAAGAGCTCCCAATAAAATGATAAAGAATGGGGGAGGGTCCCTAGCTTTAACCTTCTCAGATACTTTGATTTGCTTCTAGATGCTTCACTCCCCTCCCCTCTTCCCTGGTTCCCATCGGCCACAGGAGGAGGACAGAGGACTCTGTAGGGAGACAGCTTCCCTTGGGTGGGAGCCAGACCTCGGTGAAAACGATTGTTTCTGGGTATTCTTGCAGCCAGAGACCCTACACCTCGAGACTACATTGGGCTGCAGGACCAGTGACCCCTTGGGAATTTTCCTGGCCTCCCCCTTATGGGCTGCTTTCATCCCAAAGAGACCATTTCGAACTTTTGTTTGAAAGCATAGTGTCTGTTTGTCTGTCTCTATTCCCCCAACAGTTGTCAGGATGTCACGTTGCTTCAGGCTGCCTTTCTGACTCAGTTTGTTCATCTGTAAAGCAGGCATAATAATGTTTATACCGAACCTGACTCAGTTTGGGGTCACAAATTCTTTGAATGCCTTTGATGCATGGTAAGTACCAACCATTGCACATCCTGTTCTTAAACCATTGTGTGTACATGTGATTCTGATACTTCTTTTCCTGTTTTTCCAGGTAATAGTCCCTTTCCAGGCCAACGACCTGAATTCTGTTTACTTCTCCCAGCTGTGCAAAAGCACATACAAGTGAATGACTACAAAATGCAACCGCAGTGCATGTCGCAGACACGGCAGCAGTGGGCGGGCCAGCACCCTGGAAAGGACTGCCCGGGGACTCCCTCTGCAGCCCGGCACACCATTGCTATCTATCCATAGACCATTCTTGACCAAGCAAGCATGCACTTCATGGGCAGTTCCACACTCACGTTTTTAAAAACCACGGGGAACTTGTATATGGGGCCTGTTTTTCAGCCTGTTTGCTACCTTTTTTGCATTCTATCCCATGTGAATTTTACAGACACTGGGCTTAAACATAAAAAGGGGTGGGGTGGGGTTGTTCAGACATCAGGACATACATTTCTAGAATGTCATCCTACAGTCCTAATTCCACATCACCAAATGACTCAAACAAGACCCTGTTTACAACTTTTTCTTTGTTGTTGTTTTTTAATTTTAGATCTTTATGAGGAGATTACATATGACGTATCTATAGCTATGTGTATGGCAATAGATGTATTTCTGTGTGTACATATGTACAGTCATGTATTCCTACATATGTACAGACAAATACAGAGCTATATAAAAGTACATAGAGATTGCTTACTTGTAAATAGGACATGAATGATGAATTTTCACATCTCAAATAGTCATCAACATGAAGCCACGTTTAATGCTTGTATAATGTGATGCAATAAAATTTAAAATAAATTTATGCACATGGAATCCTTTCAGCTGGGTCTCCTGAAGTTCTGTTGGATTTTCTTCACCAAGAAAACAGAATGACAGTAGCATACAGTCATTCCTGAAAGTTCCATCACATCCCACTCCCAACATCCCTGAGAAACTTCCTGACCCGGCAGAGCACCTAACCTTTTCCTTCTCGTCTCAGTTTTCCTCTTGCTTCCATTCCGTCTTATAAGGCAGCCAGGTCAACGAATTGGAAAGCATTAAACAGAGCTTTGAAATTTTCATTCACACAGTTTGTTGAGAGAATATGAACTACAGCCAGTGTACGTGCGATACAGTTGATGACTCTATTTGCCCTTATTTACCGCATGGCTAGTCCCTGAGTCATGACAACCCTCTACTCCCTGTAGAAGGCCATTCTGTGGGCAATTCTCAGCAGGAATTCACAGTTCTTTCTTCCTAGTCTCTCTGACTCTGGAAGCACTCCTGAAACCCACCCAGCATCCCAGCAACACCAAGCCCCACAGACAGACAAGCAGCAACTGCACTTGCCTTGCCTGGGAACTGAACCCAGTTCTCTATCATGGAAGGCAAGCATTCTACCTCCAAACTACCACTGCTTTGCCTACCAGTTACTGTGGTGTGCCGATGAATCGATTCTGACACACAGTGACCCTCACAGGATTTTCCCATATGCCTACTAGTAAGTCTTTGTCAACAACAACAACAAAACCAGAAAAAGGAAAGAGGATTTTCTACGCCATGCTCATTGTGACTGCTGATTCCAGTGATTCAGATGCGGTTGAAAACTGGGTTGTCACCTGACTGTTTCATTTGGGGAAGCCGAGAGTGCCCCTGTTACCGTGCAACCAAATATCATCTTACCTTGACTGTGGGTTCGCTTGAGCTGATTCCTAAAGCCCCAGTGCCCCTTGGGAACAGAGTAGTTATGGGCAGGCTAGACCTTCAACAGTTTCTTAGCTTTGTTTTGATTTTTCAGCCTTCCCCCTGACACTCCTGAACGGAACTATCAGCCGTCAAACTCCAAAGCCACTGCCATCGAGTCACCTCTGACTCATAGCGACCCTCTGTTAGGGGTTCAACCATTCAGGAGATGCCCTTTAGGGGATCTGAAAGTGAGCGCTCACTGGATTTCTTTCCAATCATTGGTCAGGATATCTGTGAAATACTTCACACTAGCTCTGGGAAGCGGCATTTCCTAGGAAAATCTCAAGAGGCGAAGTTCCAAAAAGATGGCTTGCCCTGTGGCTCAGCTTGATCACTTTTGTTCGCCCCATCGAAAACTCCACCCCTCAACCATGGCCCAATGTTGCTGTTGCCGTCAGGTGCCTTGGAGGCGGTCCCAACTCACAGCGACCTTCAGAGCAAGGACAAACCACTGCCTGGTCCTGGGCCACCCTCACAGTTGTTGCTACGTTTGAGGCCATGGTGGCAGCCCGTGTCAATTCATCTTGGCCGAGTCTTCGTCTTCTGTTGCCCCTCCGTTTTACCAAGCAAGGAGACCCTTTTCCAGGGACCGGTCTCTCCTGAAAACATGTCCAAAGTACATGAAATGACATCTCACCATCCTGACTTCTAAGGAGCATTCTGGCTGAACTGCTCCCAAGACAGATTTGTTTGTTCTTCTGGCAGCCCAGAGTACTTTCCAAACTCTTCACCAGCATTCTAATTCCAGTACGCCGACTCTCTCTGCTCTTGTTCAATTGAATAGCGATGGCCCAATCGATCCCTGGATGGGGCACGTCCGGGTCTGCTCTCCTCCTCCTCAGGCAGGCAGCATGGGGGGCAGGCAACGAACTGCCGAGCTCCTCCTTGTGTTTGGATCCTACCCTGCACGTTCAAATTGTACCGTGTCATCAGGGCAAGGCAACAGTCAGGGTAAATCAGGAAACAAAGAAGAGGTGTTCTACTCCTGTGAAGAGTTGCACAGCCTCAGAGACCCAGGGGGACAATTGTACCCTGCCTTCTAGGGTCGCTGTGAGTCTGAATTGACTCAATGGCAATTGAATTTGATCGAATGGGTTTGATTTGATTTATTAAGTACATTTTCTACCTAATTTGAGCATAAACTGAACCTAAGAATATACTATGGCCATCAAGTTTCTCTCCTTCGTGAATTCAACCTTTGCTGCTCCGAGTGCCTTTAGTCAGCATGATTCCTGGTCTGTTTGTAGCATATAATTCTTTCTTTTTCTCCTTCCTCCTCCTTCTTGATGCCTCCCTTGTGCTCCCCTCTTTTTACTTCTTCCCTCTTTCTTTGCTTTCTCTCACTCCTTTCTTTCTACCAGCACAGTGAATACCCTGCTTCATCTTCCTTGTTTTTGGTTCACGGGACATGTGACTACGTTAAGGCAGTGGTTCTCCACCTTCCTAAGGCTGCGGCCCTTTCCTACAGTTCCTCATGTGGTGATGACCCCCCAACCATAACATTATTTTCATTCCTACTTCATCACTGTCATTTTGTTACTGTGAAAGGGTCATTCGACCCCCAAAGTGGTCGCGACCCACAGGTTGAGAACTGCTGCCTTAAGGCGTTGTTAGGGTTATGGTTTGAGAAAACCAAAGCAAGTGACAGAAGAGAATTTTGGATGACCTCTGTAGGACATCAAATGTTTATTGGATGAGTGTGTGGTAGTGAAAGATAAATAAAATAATCTGGCCAGCAAAATACTAGCATGTGCTTCTGGTGAACTTTGTTTCCTAAATTGGTGATGGAAAGTTTAAATTGTAAGTCAGAGTAAGTCTTCCATATCTGAGGATGCGCTAGTCTACCTAATTAATCCTAGAAGTCTTCACCAGACTGAAACATTAGAAACGTCCAACTTGAACAATATGTTCTTCATCAAACCTCAGGGAAGTGTTGATTTATGCAAATATTGTCGTTGGTTTTTTTTTAAAGTGGAAATCTTTCTCTGAGTATATTGTACGTGTTCCGGGCTTCTTAAGCAAAGAAAGTTAAAATGAATATATCCTTCCTTTGACAGCTCCACATCACCTGTGCATTTTGTTATTCTAAGGTAGAGTAGAGGTGGATGACGAATAGGAGAACACAGGAGGGGTGAGGACCAGGCAGTAGCCTCCTCTGGCTTTGACATTCCAGAACCTGGAGTGATCCTAAAGAAAATCCTAGGAAAAGTTTCAACCCTGTATCCTGGCTTTCAGAGCTGATGACCCACTTATAAATCCTTCTTTCTTTCACCTTCATAGCAAATCTTACCCTGCTCATCTCACATCTCACCCTCTTCCGTAATGGCCGATCCTTCCCCTCTGTCCAATGTTTTACTGGTACTTTCTCTCCACGCACCAGGTGTCCTGACCTATTTCCTCCCTCCTTCGCCTGTACAGGATGTTTTTAGCTGAGAGGATAGTTCTCATGCCAAAGTTTCAGCTTGTATGTCTCCCAGCAAGTCCTTCTCACTGTAGATGTGCCCCACCTCCCCACGAGTCTCCTGTTACACACTCTGCCCTACTGGCTCGTCTCTTTTCCCTCTGCCATACTCCTTGGCTATTGCAGGCATCCCTGTCTTATCTTGCAAGTTAGCTTGTCAGTGACAGATCAAGAACCAACCAACCACACTTCTACTTCCCCTAATATACCTAAGAGGCCTTTGGTCAAGTTTTCAGTCCTTCATAAGATATGCAAATCAAAAGGGTGGACATCCTTAATGCTAACTTAGAGCATGCAGCTTAAGCTCAACATCCTGTAAATATATTTCAGCATGAAAGAAACCAGGGCACGACCTCAACTCTTATATCATGTTTTAGTGGAGAGCTGAAGCAACCCAGATGGCTTCTTACATTGATGAGCTAACTACTGTTTTCCCAAGACCATTGAGTAATTTCCCAAGGTTTCCCATCGACACCCAGGATTTCAACATCAAGAATAATCAACACCAACAACCACAAAACAAAACAAAAAGAGAGAGAGGCTTGCTTAACATTGTTTCCATTACATAAGTGGTTCTAAATACTTGAAGTAGGCAGTTTAGACCCGAGTCGTCTTCTGATTATGGGACGGGACAAATATTAGAGCTGTTATCATTAGAACTATGCACATCCATATACAGCTTGTACAGAGGTTAGACCGAAGCAAGTAATTGTTAACTCTCGTTAGTGCAGACCTAGCTAATCAGAAAGTTGAATCATTTAGGTGGCTGAGTTCCAATAACCCAAAAACTCACTGCCATAGAGTGGATTCTAACTCATAGCAACTCTATAGGACAGGCTAGAACTTCTCCTCTGGGTTTCTGAGACCTTAAATCTTTATGGGAGTAAAAGCCTCATTTTTCTCCTGTGGAGCAAGTGGTGGGTTCAAACTTTGGACTTTGTGGTTAGCATCTTAGTGCACTGTACCACCAGGGCTCTTTTGAGTTTCAATATGCAAAGCAAATACTATGAACAAATAGAGGAAAGACTTAAATAATTTATAGGAATAATTTACATAAAGTCATGTATCGCATGATGTCTGTGCAGGTAACATCTGACCCCATATAGATCCATGGTTCCAAACCCCATGAAGCCTATCATATTAAAATTTTGAGATACATACAGTAGAAACGTGCTATTGTGCAACAAGCATCCAAACATCATTATTATTACTATATTCTCATGTTAAAGATGTTTTAGTGTATCTGGAATGTTTCATTGAGGTCTTTTATGCATAGAAAGGTATGCTATATACTAAGACAAACATTTGACTAATTGACATTAGATATGGACTATATTAAGCTATTCTAAACTACATACAAATTCAACTGAAAAACAGATTTAGGAATGGAACTTATTTGTAATCCAGGGACTGCCTGTTTGTGGTATGGTATTTACATAAGATCCAAATCATAAAAAGTCATATTTCATAGAACATATCATGAAAGTTAGCACATAACTATCCACTCACTAATTAGAAACCCAGCTAATTATCCCTATAATCTAGCTCCATAGTTCTCAAACTTTAGCATACATCAGAATCACTTGTGTCCTACCACCAAGGTTTTTGATTTAGTATATTGAGATATACGTAGTG